CTTCCTCCAAATTTTTAATCCAAAATCGAGGGGGTAGCTTTTATTCGGGGGTAGCTTCTATTCGGTAATATACGGTAGCTACTTTTTCACGTCATCCTATAAAATTTATATATAATCATATAATACGTCACATTAATACGTCACGTCAGACGTTATAGTCTATGTTAATTGATATTCTAATGTCTGCAACTCTAGTATTGAGGCCTTGCTTATATCTTTATTAGTAATTTTTAAAATAATAATTACATGTTTTGATTTTTTTTATTAAGAGTATAAACAAATAATTGTTCAAATATGGATTATTTTCGAAAAAAAGATTGATAAAAAAAAATAATAAATCAACAATGCTAATAAATGTACATATTTTTAGGTCACCGACCACTGCTTATGCCCATTTAATATTAATGATCAGGGGCATGGTTAAGTGTGAACTTGAATTCTCTATTCATTTCGTATTGCTTAAGCTTTCCAATAGCATCCAAGATGGGTTTTACGGGACAGTCATCCGGTGCCCAATGAACTACAAAATCACCCGGAACGTACATATGTGGGAATGTATTGAAAGTATGATCATCTCTATCAAGGAGAAGTGTCTGTAAATGAATAATAAAAGAATTAGTGATTATGATGATGATAAATAATAATAATAATATATAATTAAATTATTTAGTCATTTTGACCAGATTGAAATTACGAGTGGACTGAATTAAATTATAATGAACATATTATTGCCCACATATTGAATATTTGACTATGAAAGGCGGACGCTGAGTTTCTGATACATTTTAACTTACCCCATCTTTATAATCCGGACTAATTAAGAGTTCCCACATTGCACGTTGCTCCATCTGTCTGTTAAAATAAAGATCCCTTCGTGCTTGTGTTGCTCTTAAAAATTTTCGACTCCATTCTGAATTCCTAATCATAAAAACTCCCGCATTTATAGTAGAGTCTTGTTTAGGCCTTGCAACCACTAAATTAATCTTGCTAAAATTATCTTCTCCTCCAACCCTTTCAGTAAATTTCTCAAACAACCATTCGACAGAAATAGACTGATTTGCAATGACAGTGTCCATATCCAGCCAAAACACCCAATCGTAGTGTGGTAAAATTTTTTCAATTGAATCAATCTTCCCCCAGACGGTACGTCGGTGCTTGTAATGTGCTTGTTGATCAAATTCTTCAGAGCGGCCAACAAATGAATATCCATGTCTCCTAGCATAATCGCGTTTATTTTCTGCTAGAATGTATGCTACCGGAAACATACACATGTTATCATACACGAAACTGCTTGTTACAACCGCTATGGATAGTTTGTCATTCCTACGTGGAACAGGGTAACAGGCTGGAATTTTAGAAATTGACAAATGCGTGAATACGCTTCTTTTTTCACTTTCTAAGTAAACGTGCCCTACTCCTATCGTTGTTTCTTTCGGAACATTCTCGATGGCGTTCGGCCATTCTATCAGTTCAGTATTGTCGTTTATGAAAAATAAATCGCTTTCATCAGTATGTTTTGGTTCGATAAAATATTGATACGCCTGAGTTATGAGCTTAGGAAGATTCTTTTTTTTTTTCGTATTATTATTATTTTCTTTTATGAAATAATTAAGATCAAGTAAGGTGGTTATAGACTCTTGGCCGAGAATTATAAACATTTCGTCATTCGTATTGGTATCGAAACGACCCCATACTAAATTGGATTTCTGTCTAGGTGTCAAGGTTTGAGTGTTGATTACGGATGAATCCAGAATAGACAGAAGTTTGCGAAGGTTGATAATTGATTGGTCTTCCATAATTACTGCATAGTCGAACGTGATTTCTTGTTTCTCGAGTGATTGGATCTTTAATAATATGAATCAGTTATAAGAACTATAAATAAAACGAACCAGAATACACGTGCATGTACACGTACCCAAGTAAGAACAGTTTTTTGCCAATTCATATTCGATTGATTTGGAAACTCCTCAATATCATCATATTCCACAGCTTCCGCCGTAAAATCTCTCAATACTTTTTTATCAGTTTGTTGATAAGGCTTCATCAAAAATCTGTAATATATTTCTCCATTTTTTTCCATACATGGTCTTAAATTATCTTTAATACCAAACAAATATTCTCTTAATAATTTTCTCGTCCGCATTTCATCGATGTGAGAAGTTATTACTACAAGTAATTTGTAATGTCTTTGTTTGGTGGAATCGCCAGTAGTAGGGTATATATTTGGATAATCAGGATATTCATCAGGGTCTGATGGAGTCAAAATGATATCAACATCTTGAATCGCACCATCTAGTGTCTCCTCATGAGGACCAAGATACGTTAGAATCTGTATCACTAGGAGAAACACTGTGGTGAATAATACTAAATATAAACATGGTTTTCGGTTATAATGTCTCCCTAAGGATCCCCTAAAGATTGTCTCTCCTTGGCGTAGTGCCATTTTTGTTTGTTGAATTTCAGCTTAGAATACTTTCAATTGCTTTCTCGAATATGCTAAACAAGTGAGCATAGCGTTCTTTAAACCCGATTGGCCGATTAAACGTAATTAAATCTTTTTTAAAAGCGCTAACCATATTAATTTTAGTATTATTTGATATGGATGTCTGTTTACCTTAAAAAATCGAATTGTGATCCGAATCGAAAATCTTCTAATTGATTAGTTTACAGGTAAGAACGTTGATGTTATTACGACTGATTTTTCACACGGTGTGCAACGTATAAAAAAACAATTTTACAATACCG